GTATAAATTTATACAAAGATAAAAATTAATCTGGGATAAAAGTATTGAAATTGAAAATATAATTATGTATACAAGACGGATTCTCAAGGTCTGTGATGAAAGTTCAAATTTTGTCAAAAGCTATTTTTCTTGCTGTTTCCTTTAGTGGCTAAAAATATATCACCCTATAGTATTGTGATTAAAAAAAAAAAAAAAAAAAAACATCATCAATTGGATGGCATAAAACCAGTAATAATTCCTTTTAATAATTTTTAGCTAAATACTTTTCAATTATTTTTATTAAAATTTAAACTTGTACTTGCAGTGTGTCAGTTTAAAATAGCATTCAAATTATACTTTATTTTATTTCTAATTTCATATTCTTTTGTGAGTTTTTAGATCCAGTCAGTAAGTCTTTTTTTTTTTTATTGCTTTTATTATCATGTTTTGGCTGATTTCTTCTACAGCCCTTTTCAGATTTGCTGAACAGGTTATTTCAATAAAAAAGAGAAAAATATTAAGACAGTATCAATAGCAAGAACATTGCATAACTTGAATACCTGGAAACTTAGAGATAAAGGGAGAGTACCCATATATAAAATGTAATCTACAGTGATATGCAAAAGTATAGTACATGTAGGTATTTTCAAGCAAATGATAATTTCTATTATTGATACTGGCCTAAAGGTTGAGATAAATATAGTAAATACTTCAGATATGCTATACAAGGAGAAATAAAGAAATATTTGCCTATGCATATTTCAGGATAAAAATTGCAGTTTGGCATTAATGTTTATTCAAATTATTTACAAATTTTTGTTGGCCAATCAGTGTAGAGTGAATGGCCATGGTTAAATAAATGGCAAAACTGCCCAACAAACAGAATTTGACAAAATTTGTAATGAGTGACAAGAAGAAAAGGACAGGACAAAAAAATAATAGAAAGCAAGCAAACAATATAGGCAAAGCAACAGTGATATGGCAAAAAAGTTCACAAACTAAGAATTGGGATTGACACACGAGAGCAAATTTGGATAAATGAACATAATGTTTTGACTTTAAGGCAAGACTGACCAAGACTGAGTTGTATGAAACTGAGAACCGGCCTATTTTATTGACTAGGAAGAAATCCCAGCATGCATTTATGTGCTTCTGCCTATAAATCGAGGAGGGGGAAGTGTTTTGCAATCACTCCAATTGGAACCAAGAGCCTTCTATGTATTTGTTAAATTTGGTTGCCATAAACAGAATCCTCTTTGATATAGTGTTAAATTTAGTGCCTGCAAGCAAGACATGACAGACTGAACAGTTCCCATTTGGCTGTAGTATTATATAGTGAGTGCCAGAGATATCTCCCATATAATAAGACATTGATGACAATAGTGTCTTCATCTAGATGAAGTCTTACCAATATGTTGGAGGTATTTCTGCCACACCCTTTATTATACTAGTAAGTAATATATATATATATATATATATATATATATATATATATATATATATATATGAGAGAGTGTTGAATTAGTCTAATAGTGATTATGAAAGTACGATAGCTTGGAAAATTCATTCTGATTGTTCTGATAAGAAAAGAACCAAATTTGTTGATGAGGGCCTCAGACTCAACATGGAGGCCTACATCAAGGGACTTGAAGAGATAGTACTTCCCTGAGTCAAGAGGGTGGCAGCTGGAAGTCCCTATGATTGGCAACAGGACTTTGTACCATGCCACAAAAACAGGAGAACCTAGTCATGGCTTTCGGACAATTTCTGTGACCACATCACCCCTTACATCTGGCCACCTAACTCCCCAGAATGCAACCCAGTGGATTATTATATGTGGGGCATATTTGATCAAGAGAACAACAAAACTCATTGTAATACCAAAGGTGAATTGAAGGCAAGGATTATGGCAGCATTCACCAACTTAAACAAGGAGACCATTCAGAAGAGTTGCAGGAGATTTCAATGTTGTCTGGAGTCCGTGGTTGAAGCCAATGGCAATTTTATTGAATAAATTTACTTTTAGGTATTTCAGGATATTTTTGTGTAATTTTGGTAAATATATCTATTAAAATGAGAAGTCAGTGTTAGTTTCATTTTTGCATAATTTAGATGAAAATTTATCCATCACACCCTTTGTGTGTGTGTGTGTGCATATATATATATATATATATATATATATATATATAAAATGGACTAGAAATATTAAAATCTGAAGTGATATCAGCACTGGCCAAATTAAACAAAAACCGAGCATCCAGATAGACTTGTCATAGAGTTGCTGGCAGCTTTAGATGTTTTCAACAGTGACAAATACAGATATAATAAATGAAATATACAATATATATGTGGTGATATACCAGAAGGCCTAAGTCGATCCATTTTCATAGTGCTGCATAAGAAGCCAGCTGCAAATGAATGTGAACTCTGCTGAGACAATCAACCTAATGAACTGCATAACAAAACTTATCCAAATTCTGATGAATAGAGTGTGCAGCAAAATTAAACTCAAAATAGGACTTTCATTAAAGATACTGGAACAAAGAAGGCAATTTTTATACTTAGAATGATATCAGAATGAACACTATAAACAGGATCCTCATTCTAAATTGATAACAAATCAATATTTTTTTTTTCTGATAAGTGTCACTGACTAAGGAAGCTTTAAATAATGATATTCTATAAAAATTATTTCCCTCCAAAATTTCCCCCTTTTTTTTTATGAATGGACCAGTCTAATTAAGTAAACTCAAAAAGAAAGCTTATTTACCCTATCCTCCTGGCTAGGTGGATATGAGCTAATTTAATATTTCAAACACTTTAAGAAACAGCAATCCCAATAGCCATTTGATGATACTAAAATACATATAGAAACAAGCAGGGCAGGTTAAAAATATTTGCACTTCTTTTTAACAAGGAAAAGTCACATTAAATATTAGATAATAATATGTGTTAAATCATATGATTGTTCCAAGAGTTGGTCAGATGATTGAACTCATTCTTTTTTTATTGCTTTTATGATCATGTTTTGGCTGATTTCTTCTACAGCCCTCTTCAGGTATCCAATTAACATAGTGATAGGCTGGCTTTCTCTCTCTCTCTCTTTTTTTTTTTTCTTTTTTTTTGCCAGCAGGGAAAAAAAAACAAATGTACTGATAAACCAACCCATGTCTGGTACTGTCAAACATTTCTCATACCCTTTTATTGTACTGATTTCATTGGCATACCTTTTGAAAAGAATATGGTGTAAAATCTCTGTATGCCATGGAATAGATAGCAGACAAGACAATTGTGTTTATAATTTTATTCAATTCATTTTTATCCATTCAGTAACATGGATGACCTTGTCTCTTCAACAATTCAGTTTTGGTAGACATTTCAGTCATGCACATGGATATCATTTTCAATTGACAGTCTTGCCTGAAATTTGGTCTTGATCATACACATTGCTGGAAAAATATTGTTCCCAAAAGAAGATGCAACACATTTTTGTTTTTATTTACATTGTTTTCATGCAAACTCTTTGTTATTGTAGTCATAATGTCTCAGCCATTGTGCCCTCCAACTTTCATCAGGTGTATGTTGATCCAGATAACCTACAGGGAATTCTGAATTGAACCATTTATTTAATCTACAGAGGTAGACTGTTCTTGTTCCACTGCCCATGTCTATAAGAACTAGACAAGATATCTGTAGACATGGGCAATGGAATTGGAACCATCCACTCTTAAATAATTTTGGAAGATAGCTAAATGTCTTATCTGAAAACCTGTAAAAAAAAAAAAAAGAAAAAAAGAAACTCAATTAGTTCTGTGGTTTTTTAGATATTAAACATCTTGTGGGATGTGCAATTATGCTGTTACACCCTCTGTGTGTGTGTGTGTGTGTGGCTAGGATTGAGTCTTGAATGGCAACCTTCCTAGAGATTGTGTCTCGGTAAAAACATTCAATATACTTGGACTATCATGAATGTCTGAGTTGGGCATCAGGAAGAGTATCCATCTTTGTAAAACCTTGTTTTAAGTCATTGACAACTTCTCTGTCAGACAGGATCCACCTTACTTTGTGTGAGGTTAATTCCAGTTCTGCTTCAACAAAAAAACATGGCTATATATGTAATGATCATTTAAGTTTTTTTTTCACTAAAATCTGACAGAAAAGGTTTAATTTTGTAATTGAATATAAAATATCCAGAAACTTTCCTGCTTGTTGAATACTTCCAGAATATTTGGGATCATTTTATATTAACAATGAAAGTCAGGCAAAAACTTTTGCAATGATCTGATAATTTCAATTGGATAACGAAAAATGTTTTTATATTTTTTTATTTAGTTGACATGTAGAATTGCAATAAAGCTTTTGAAAGAATTGCAAAATTTTCAGTTGCTACTGCAACTTTTGTCAGAGCTTGATATTGAATTTTAGTATTTCTTTCAAAAAATTTATTGTTCCAAGAAGTTAATGCCAAACTGCACAGTTAAATATAGCTTTATCTACATGCAGATTATTGTCATAACATTTTGGCTGTTGTGCCCTCTGACCTTCATCAGGTACTTGTCCAGCCATGTAACTATCAGGGTATTTTGAACTCAATCCTTTATCTAATCTATGGAGGTAGAGTGTTCTTGTTTCTGTTTCTCTATCCATGTCTAAAGATATCTTGTCTACTTCTTATTTAGTACTACTTGATTATTTCTCTCTCCTTTTCTACCTCACAAATCAACCACAGTGAGGTTAGAACACTAATGTTTTAATCACTTGGCTATGCACCCACTTCCACTCCCACACACACACAAATTCCTACATACCTTTTCTTATAGTTGTTTTGTCAAATGAATTTACATGGACTGAAGCAAATTATAAGAAAATAATTTAAATTTTGTTTAATAAAGCTTTCTCTAATTGTTCACAAATTGAGGACCAATAGATATTGGGGGACCATTAAGGGAGGCAAAGACAGCAGTCTTCATTTGGTGGCAAGTTATGGCAGTAGTGGCATTTAGGTGAATTGGTATCAAGTCATGCAAAATCAATTGTTTCTCTCTCTCTCTTTCACTCTCTCTCTCTCTTTTTCACTCTCTCTCTCTCTTTCACTCTCTCTCTCTCTTTCACTCTCTCTCTCTCTCTTTCACTCTCTCTCTCTCTTTCTCTCTCTCTCTCTCTTTCACTCTCTCTTTTACTCTTTCTCTCTCTCTTTTACTCTCTCTCTCTCTCACTCAAACACACACACACACACTTTTTGGCTAAACTTTTGTCAGAACTTGATATTGAATTTTAGTATTTCTTTCAAAAAATTTATTGTTCCAAAACAAATAGTCATCAGAAGAATGAAAATTTGTGACATTAAAATTAGTAAATGTTTGGTGGCTGAAATTTACCACTGGTTTTGAGCAGTAAAGCTTAAAACTTTCATTGTTGCTTTTTTGTGACATAAGCAGACCTTCCATTGCAATCTTACTCCCACTATTTACTTATAACCTTGTTCTGTACTAAGTTCACTAACTTGACTTACTTGGTGGTTCAGGTGGGTCTATATTTTTCTACTGGCAACAACATTTAGTATTTATATCCATTAAAAACAAAAAATTAATAGATTTTCAAGACAGGCCCTCCCCACTTGGAAGATTAGTGCAATACTATCTTCCTATCTATTATTTGACCTTGTTTTAATGTAGGCTAAATTTAGTAAATGTCTCAAACCACATACTGTTATTTTTCAAACTGTTGGCTTTGAGAAGGAACAATGTTGTACATTATATTAGCTTTGTACAGAGAAGTGCTGCACTTGTGCCTGTTATCAGGATGAGCAATCGAAGCAATTATAAGAAGTTGTAACTTTGCTCGCTAGTAGTTAGATTGCAACTGAAATGTATGAGGCTCTACATCTTATAAATTTGTGTAACTTATGTTCTTTCAGTTTTAAACAGGATAAAAATATTCTACCATTGGTAGTGGATTAATCGCTGTGTTGCAGAACTGCTTATATTTGGCAAACAGTGGTAATCAAAATTTACACATAAATGACGGGTCATCATTGTTAGAGGTGAAAGGAAATGGAAATTTGAATGAGGCGATGTTTTTATGTATTTTTATATAGCTAATAATTTATTAACAAAGGGAAAATACAACAGTATTATACATGAAAATTAGGTACCTCACCAAAATTTGCTAAAAAAGATATACATGATAAAACAAAAATGCACAAAACATAATAAATACAAAATACTATCATCAAAATCTGTGTTATTATTAAAATGAAAGATCAAAGGAGTTTTTTTTTTTTTTTTTTTTGTAAAACTTTGGTTAAAAATCTTATTCTGGCATCAAAATTCACCAAAATATTAGAATGATTAAAATATTTCAAATTTTTAAGATTACTGGGTGGTTAAAAAAATTATATAAAAAAGACATTTATGTTGTATTTGTCATATATTTTATTTCAATTATCTACTCCTTATTGAAATTTCCCAAACATCATGCAACATGTAAAATAATAAAAAAAAAAACTGTTTTACTGTAATATTTTAAACTAAAAGTAATATTTGTTTCAATTCAGATTAATTAAACTTTAAATGGGATAATTTTTCTTAAAGATTTTTCTTTTTTTTTTTTTAAATGCATTTTGAGACTTAGGTATTGTTTATTTTATTTTTTGTACCTCATGTAAATGTAGCTGAATGGTTAGAATGTTCACATTCTGACAATGAGACCTCAGTTCAAATCTCACCATGGTCGATTTGTCAGGAAGGAGACTTCCTGATGTTATCGGACTGGAGAGGATCAATCCTAGTGTGCGGCACCTTTTGGAAAGTACCTGAAAACCATACCACAGGTTGACCAAAGCTTTGTGAGTGAAATTGGTCAAGGGCTTGAGTGTGCTGGCCTTGTTCAAATTGTTGGTCATGCTAGATAACATGCTCTTTCTAGAAACTGTAACTAAGGTCTGCTCTACATAGTTGCAGTATAAACTACAGGTGGATTCTGGGTGTTGAATAAACACAAATGTGCCTGAGCAAGCGTCTGCAATAGGGATTGGCTAACCGCTCTAGTAGACAGGTATTCTCAAATACAAGTGGCCAGCTATACATACATACAAATATAGCTGAAAAAGAAAGTAGGTATTAAAATTTATCAACTAGGGGGATCACACACACACACACACACACACACACACATATATATATATATATATATATATATATATATATATATATATATATTATCCACTAGTCCATTGTCATCCATTGCTCAACATCTACAAAAAACATTCCTGTCGACATTCATTATTTAGAAGAAGTGTGTAATATATATATATATATATATATATATATATAATTATTTATTTAAAATATGACTCAACGCTACATAAGAGTTCTCATGTTTCAAAACAGGGCCGAAAACTTCAATATAATTATTTGAATTAAAAGTACTAAGCTCTGTTCCTAGAGCTTAGTACTTTAATTCAACTAATTATATTGAAGTTTTCGCCCTGTTTTGAAACATGAGAACTCTTATGTAGCGTTGGTATCATATTTTTTAAATAAATAATTATATTTATGCTCTACTTTTGTATCGAGCACTATTTTTTAAAAATAATAACAAAAAAATACTAAAGAACTTTGGATTATTTACCTAATCTAGTTCTTTTCCTATATTTTTACACACACACATATACACATACATACATAAATATATATATATATATATATATATATATATATATATATATATATATATATATATATATATATATATATATAGGAACAAGTCCTTTTTTTGATCTGGTGTTGTCACTAAAGTATGCTGGGAGAAAAGGAGAAAGAAAAGAGGAAGAGTTCCATTTTTTTTTTTTTTAGTAGTTTAACAGTGCCACCTAAGAGCATCTTGTCAAAGCTAAACAGGAGTGACCCACAAGTGCTACAATGATAAAGATATTTTCTGGGAAGTAACTATATTATAAAGTAGCCATCTTGATTTGATGATACTTGATGTTTCATTAACCAAAAAGCTTTTTCATTCATTAAATTTAAGCATTTTTTGTGTGCACATGTGGAAATATATAATGCATATAGCTGGTAAAGTTAAACAAACTATCCTCATTTATCTTGTGTAGCTTAGAGTAAATAACCTTTTAGTCACTTAAGTCAGTAATATTTCAACCATTTCTTTGAGGCATGGTATTTCTTGCATTTAAAATTTCAGTTGCTTTTTATCGTAGCTGTCATGGATGTCAGTAAGTAAATTTAAAAAAAGTCTTTTTGGAGTTTTAAAACTTGCCTCCCTTTTCTAAAAAAATTTTAAATTTAAAAAATTCTAAAACTTGTCTGTCTTAATGTGATAGCTGCCTTTCTGATTAAGCCATTTAAATTTAAGCATTTCAGTCATTTAAATTTAACCATATACCTACTCTTTATTTCTCTCCCCAGACAACCTGATATGTAACCTGCCCTAATTTTATTTATTATTTTAAAAAAATATTTAAATTTAATTTTTTTTTTTTTTTTTTTACACATATTTATATTATCAGTAACCAGTGTTATCTGATATGTAATCTTGATTAAATGTTTTAAGCACATCATGTCAAATGCATTAAAATTTATCTGTTGCTTAAAACTATGATTCTAAACTTTAAATAGACATAAATAAGAAAATATTAATCTCAAAAGTTTTCCATATATGTTGAACATATAAAACATTTTAACAAAAACTGCAGAAGTTTTAAGAATCAGAACTAATATTTCAGGCAATTTTATAATAATAATAAAAAAAAGAAAACCATGATTATAAAATTGCTTTAAACTTTGTATTACTATCTCTACTTAAAGCAAGCAAAATTCTTTTTTGGTAGAGAAATATTAATTGAAAATAATGCTAAGTATTTGCCTACTTTGTGAACTCCCAAATCTGATCAATAATCTCTGAACATTTCTTTAACTTTGAAATGTTCAACATATTTTACCTTTAAATAATTTTTGGTTGACTTTGAAGTATGATGGCTTGCACCACTCTTTTGAAATACAGTGTGTGGCAAAAGTAACGCCATTTTTTTTTATTTAACTTTTATTGAACAAAAATAAATTACAGTAGTTTAAGAAAATTTATAAGTATTGTCACATCAAAACCTGATTTGTTATGGTTAACAAACCATTTAACATGTTCAATACAATGCTGAACACTATCATCAACACTTCTGCAAATTGTTTGACACGTTTCTACATTAATTTCAGAAAATTTATCAGAAATTGCTTCTTTTAAGTCAGGAATTGTTTTCAATTTGATCCTGTAAACAAGATCTTTCAGTAAACCCACAAGAAAAAGTCTGGTATTGTTAAGTCTGATGATTGTGATGGCCATTCAATTGCTACACATTGTTCTATCCATCTTAGCTTGCAAACAACAAAAAAAAAAGGACATTACTTTTGTTGCTTACTCTATATTTCGGGTATGTCTCTGAGTATATGATTTGCTTTTTTTCGTCTCTTTGAATTACTCCCCATACTATTTCTGTTGAATTTTTTTTATAGTTTTCATTGTATGTTTATTATTAAATTGTTAATTAGGTTTTCTCACATGTAGTTGTATACTTGAGAAAGTTCAATTCAACATTTGTCTGAGAAATTGATTTTTTTTTACTGCCTGAGACTACCCCCATACAGTTTTGGAAGCACATCACATTTTTATATATTTCATTTGTTTTGAAACTGTTATATATGGATGAAGGTTGGGCTAATACATAAGTAAAATTTACTGTCTATAGTACCATTTTATTGTTGACTCCATTTGGTTACAGTGGGTGAGTATCATCTTAGTCCTTCTTGTGATTTGAGAGTTCATACGGGGTTGCTGTGTTTTTGGCTGACAGAAATTAATTTGTTGAATTCATCCTTTCTTCTTCTTTTTCTTCTGGAGTTGTACATCCTGTCAAATTCACAGTCGATGAATCTCCAGCCTTTGTATCTCGAACTGCTACATCAAACCAATTTCCCATTTTTTCTGCTGCACACGTTTTTTTTCTTTTTATTGGGCCTGACACATTTGTTTTTTTTCATTTGATTTTTGGTGGGACGTTTTTTTTTTTTTTTTTTTTTCCAATGATGTTCACTAACCCACATAAGCTATGTCCAGGTTCTGCCAGTTATCAAGGATAAGAACAATAGAAAGGAAAGGAAGTATATGTAATAGAGAAGAGTTTTCTTTGTCACTCTCTTAGTGAAAAGGAGAGTGTATATTTCCATATGCTGTTACTACTACCTAATACCTTCTACAAATCCATCTACTTTGGTTTTTAGTTTATATTCAACCAAATAAGTTATTTTGTTGTATATATTTGATAGTATTTACACTCACAATATTTGTCAGTCATTTTGAATTTACTTGGTCATTTTTCTTAGGTTTTTCTTTAATCTCATTGAGACAATTTGTATTTACAACCAGATTTGTGTGATCTATCTGAAAAACCTTACTCTTCAGAATATTGTTTATAAATTTGTCACACACAACAGAAAGGTATTCTTTGAATAGAAGCAACTTTCATTTGGGATTATACCTTCCTCACAAAAAGCAACTGATAGACTTCTTTCACTGACATATTGCATTCTGCACTAAGATAAGCTGAATAAAAAGCATTACCGCCTGTAAATTTAATTTAATAACTAAATAAACCATAGTATCTGTGTAATGCCACTTTTTTTTTTTTTTTTTTTTTTGAGATAGAAGTTATTTTATGTCTTTTTGATTAAAGTCAATTGTTGGATGAAAGGTAAAACCTGTTTCTGCTGAAGATAAAAAGGAAATAAACAATTATGGTGGAGAAAAATGTCCAAACAAGAAACGTTTGTTTATGAATGTTGTGTAAAAAAAAGACATTGCTGGTAGCTTTCTTAAAGGTCAACTGGGATTTTTTTCCAATGTGACCTTTAGAAAAAGCTAAATAGTTTGTATGCTTAAAAAATATTAACAGTAGATTATTTCCATGACCAGGAAATCAATTTCCGGTGTGAAGAATAAATTGCCCATGAAGCTTGCTTCCTCTTTGCAAGGATTTTTCTCAGTACTTTAAAGAGTAAAATGATTTCTTTTTTTCCAAAGAATGAACACATTTTAAATCCTGTATGTACTAAAAATGAGTATCACTTAAGGGGAAATAACTCTTAGTTATTTGAATTTTCAGTTATAATAGTTTATCCACTTTATGGAAAATTATTTTATGTTAATTTATACTTTCATTTACGGTTGCTCTCTTTATTTCGTGTTTTGTATTTTAATTTTTTTTTCTATCCACTATCAGTAGATCCATCTTTTATTAACTCACTAATTTGTTTATGAAGGCCTCCTTTTCATAGCATGATATTTAAAAAATTTCTTATCTTGGAATCAAGTAGGTGCCGATAACATACTCAGGTTAAGATCAAAGAAAAAGATTTACTTATATAGATAAGAGAATCTGAAGTGTGACAACTCTAAACAGTTTATAGAGAAGTGCTCTTGAGAAAGAGAAAAATATAGAAAATGACTTTCTCTACTATCCCATTAAGAAAATTTCCAATGTCAAGTTCATTGGTGATGACATCTCTCAACGTTTATTAGTTTTAAATTAATTATATTGTAACACTGTGTTGTTACAGATTAAGTAGCATTTAATAGAATCGGTTAACTGATTTCAAATTTTTCGTCTCGTCTGTTGCATTCACTTTCACACCTTGGGAAATGCTTTTTTTTGTCTTAAAACTAACTGTAAAGACTAAATTCTCTAGATTCGGTTGGCAACCAGTCTAAGACAAAGACCACCTTTTTTTTTTTTTTTTTTTTTTTTTTTTAACTGGAAAAGGTAAAAAAATATTGCCTAATCTTTCTCAAGAAGTTATATGCACAATTTAAGGAAAGCTTTTGAGAGCCATAGTTATCTTTTAATATAGGCATGTAAATGTTAGACTTAAAGTGTAATTTTTTTTTATTAATATCACAATGATAAATTTTAACTTAAGACTTTATTTGTATCTTTAATATGATCAACAATGATTGCTATAAATGACAGTTTTTTTTATATGGGTGTGTATGTGAGGGTCTACAAAAATGTTAATGAACCAAACTTTCCTTCAATCCTTGGGGGAAAATGTCTCTTTTCATTTTCCATGCTAGTTGTGATAACTTCTAGCTTGGATGGTAGAATGAGAATAGTCTATTCTCATTGATTGAATAAAGGGTTTTGTTTGAAATTCAAGGAATGTTACTGAAGATAACACTAATTTTAATAAATCTGTGTATATTTAACATTCACCAAAGTGAGCCCATTTTTTATTCATGCATTCAGAATGGGGGCAGTCAGAACTGGTAATGTACTTTCATGGGTGAGGGCAGTATTTGATAAAATATCACAAGAAGTAAAAAAACAATAAAATAGTCATAAATGTTAAGGTCTGAAACTCACTTGGATTATTATTATTTTTTTTACCATTCCCCGCCCCCAATATTTTAATCATGTTGAATCACTTAGATTGACGGAACAACTTTCTTTTTTTTTTTAATTAAATTAATAAATTCAAAGCAAAAACAGTATTTACACTTAATCACAGTTCAATTAAGAATCTATACTTCTTTGAAAATTATGACAATTTTTTTCAATTAAATAAATTTGTCACAGCTGCCATTGGCCGATCCTTAGAAAAATAACAGGTAATATGGCCTTGACCTTCACAACCCCTTTACTCACAGAATTAAGGTCGAGTAACTGGACAACTAGCTCAATATGGTTGAAATGTAAACTGTGCCTTGAGAATATTGACCAAACATTGAAAGAACATCAGGAGTAATTTTATATCTACAGTTTCCTACTCCCATTAGCCAGGGAGTACTTGAACAAATGGTTTATAATCTTAGCCCCTTTCTTCCAACAAAAACCAAGCTGCTCGGCCCGGGGACAGAATGAAAGTGTAGTATCTGTATACTGGCCTTGCGATCTTCCCAGTGCTTCGTTGAGAGATACCCTTTGGCACGATCCCACCTCCGCAATTGATCCACTCTGGAAGATATATCATCTCACTGACTTGACCCTGTTTAGGGATTCCGTCTTTGTCAAGAGATACCCTTTGGTGCAATCCCGTCTCCGCGGTAGATCCGCCCTGGAAAACATATCATCTCAGTGACTCGCCCGTGTTTAGGGATTCCAGCTTCGTTGAGAGATACCTTTCATTGCAATGAAAGAAAGAAAAAAGTGAAACAAAGGAAGGAAGAACTAGTAAAAAGTATTTGAAAGAAAATGTATCATCTTTTCATGGGAAACTTTAGATGTATCCCTGGGATGCATAGATGGGGAGAATGTTACTGTGTCCTTTGAGATTTTTATGCATCAGAGATGCAAGATGTGCACTCATCAATATCTCTGCTTTGGATAGAAAGACCCAATCATTGACTTCAAGAAAGTAATGATAGAAAATTTTACAGTATACTCAAAATGACCAGAAACAGTTTTAAAGATCATAGTACATAAAGAAAGAACAGTTCTCTATACATATTCTTCTATTTGTTTTGGTGGTCCCTTTATTAAAAGGACCTATTTTTGTATCTTCAGATCCTTTACCCAAGGAATGATTTTTTGTTGATTGTCTTGACTATGATTTTATCTTATTTTTATGAGTAAAAAAAAAAAAATTGTTGAAATGGCCGTAGTCTTTATTTTGACATCTACCATTTTCCTGTGACATCTTAAAGTAACTATATAAACTTGCTAATGTTTATTTTTTTTATTTTTGTTTTTAGGTGTTGCTGATGGTGTAGGAGGTTGGCGGAGTTATGGTGTGGATCCCTCCACATTTCCATGTACTCTTATGTCCACGTGTGAGCGTATGGTCAAGGAAAACAAATTCCGTCCACAGGCACCTGCAAGCATCATTACAGACAGTTATTATGAGCTGCTGGAACAAAAACAGCCCTTAGTGGGTGAGGGTTTTTTTTTCTTCATATTTAACCAAACTTGCATATATTAGTTTGTGATTCTGACTTGATTTCTACTAAACTATAAACTAGTGTATAAAGTAGTACTTTTGATGCTTTATTATTTTGTATTTCACTTTTTATGTGGTGGATTTCTTTGGAGATTAAGTAACAGGAAGTCTCCTATACCTTGACACCTTTTTCAGGACCCTTCCTAATTTTAGTTATGCTGTCATGTGGATGGTTAAATGTTTTGTTTTGTGAATATCTATACAGATAATACACAATTTATAGGTGCACGTCTTAAAATCAGGAAGGCTGGAACCTGGCAGTTGATCTCTTCTCTGACTTAACCCTGGTAGGCATCCTGTGTATGATAATAAACTACATCCATAGCCTGGATATGATGATAAACTACATCTGGCAGCAAGGCCTCTGATCAGGAGGTTTTGAGGAGTGTGGAACCCTGGTGTTCTCAGGTCCACCTTGACTTGGGGTAGTAGCACCTGTTAGGGTCCCAGCTATGGGCAAATGGTTAAGCCCCAAACTGGGGTCAAAACACTACAAAAGTGTAAAAATAGGTTTTAATACCAGCAATTCATTTTCAAAAAAAAAATTCTAGGAACAAAAATCTTGGCATTAAATAATCCATTGAAGTCAATATTCAATAAAATAAAAAAAAAAAAGAAAGAAAGTAGCTCTGGTAGCTGAATGGGTGGGAGGAGAACTGGCTTGTAAAATTTAATATGTCCAAAACCAAACTAGTAATATTCCACCATAATTGAGCAGACCTTAAACTTTCACCTATCAATATAGATGGATCTCCTCACAATGTGGCTCCTTGCCTTGAACATTTATTGGGATTCAAGCTCTCCCCAGGAACTCTCAAGTGGAACTTGTATACCTGGTCTATCACTAAAGCTGCTGGAAAAATGGTTGGTTCTTTATACCATTCAAGTATGTATCTAACTTCCCCTGCTATACTCTTTACAAGAGCCAGATCAGCCCAAAAAATGCAGTATTGCTGCCATATCTAGGCTGGAGCTGCTTAGTCATCACTTGTATATCTTGATAGTTCAAAAGAATCTATGTTGACTTGTAGGTGATGAATTACTTCCATTCTACAACTCCTTTCTTACAGACAAAATATTGCAAGCCTCTCACTACTCACTTGCTATTTCCATAACAAGTGTTGTGGTGAGTTACATTCTTTGGTTCCACCTATCCTGACCTTTGCAGCTGGGACCCACCATGAGGGCCATACATGAGGATCAATCATTCTTATTCCCTTTGTATTCTATTAGTAAGAACTAACTTCAACTAGGACAACTTCTTCCTAAGAACTGCAGCTTTGTGGAACAGATTACTGGCAGAATGTTTTCCTGATCTCTACAATCTTGACCTCTTCAAGTATAGTGTTAGTCATTATCGTTCCTACATGTACTGCACATCTTGCCTTTTCTTATACTAATACAACACTATACGCTCCCCCTCTAACTTGAGGAGGTTTTGTATTAGGTGAACATTAGTATAAAAAAAACTCCAATTCTTCCAATCTTTTCACAAAGCTATTTGAGGCTGTTCCAAGTGCACCAATGATGGATACAATTATCATCTTTATATTTCACAACACAGATTTTTTTTTGTTTGTTCTCTGGCAAGGTCTTGGTATTTTTCCAGATTTTCACTCTTTCAATCTTACTCTGTGATCTGCTGGAACTGCATCATCTGCTGTTTTTATCTTCACATTCCACAGCTTCTTCAGTTCCCAGGTGAGGTTGTGGTATTTTTCTATCCTCTCTGTTTATCACCCCTGTGGTTCACTGGCACAGCTCTATGATCTATCAAACTAACATTTTCTTGTTAGCAATAACCTTCTGGCTTGAATTAAGTGATAAGTCTCCATCGCAAATTCCTAGAGTATTTTACTCTTTATTTTCTGGGACAGCTTCTGATTTTTGTTCATATCATTTGTTTATGTGGTCAAACGTAAACCGTTTGCACAGTTCTCAGTGCATTGCTATCTCTCCCCTGTCATGCTTGTTTTTATATTTCCTTTGAGCCAGCTTGCTGCATTCACTTATACAGTTTTCATGCCTTTTGCAGTTTTTCTCTTTTATTTATTTTGGTTTGAAATGTTTTTCTGATGGCTTTGTTTTGAGCTATAATAAGAGACTTTCTTTTTATGTGACTTCTGTATAACTCCATTTCTGACTTTTCACCTGCAATAGGTTCCATCTCTGCCTTGTGTATTTTCTTTGTTCATTTATCTTTCTTGGTTGCATTTCACATTGTTCTCACAGTTCTTGTCTTTTTATCAATTGTTCTATTACTACTGTTAACTAATTTATAAAAATATTGAATTTCTTCCTATTCTGGCAGTAGAAGCTAAAAAAAAAACAAGCACTAATCATGTTTGTATTATAGTATTAACTTCATTTAAACCTGGTATACATCAACAAGGGTTTCACTTATTGCTAGTCATTGATGTTGTTGCTACTCTGCCATTTTTCTGTCGTGGGAGGGAAAATAATTTCTGATTTGGTGGGAGTAAATAATTTCTGGTTGTTGAGGGGGAATAATTTCTGGTTGCAAGGGAGGCAAAATAATTTCAAGCTATAATGAGGGAGAAATAATTTTTGTTTAATGAGGTAATGGGGATTGTATAAGTGTTGTAACATAGGGAAAGTTATTGAATAGAAAAATCAAACTAAGGTTGGTAATGAACAATAATACTTAGGACAAGAACAGCACATATAAGATTCGCTAGCAGTCTGTAGAAGTAGTCAACTGAATTCTACAATGAATCTCCAACTCTAGACCAACATACAGTATTTACTACTGTATTTATGTGAATGGGGGTATACCCATTATTGTCCATAGGTATGCTACAACAAGTAAGAAAGAATATCTCTAGTTTGTATTTCCTCATTCTAGACATTATTATATCTGTGATATAGTAACACCTTAATACATGAATGGAACATAATAGCTGAAAGAAAGGAATGACAAATGTACACTATTCTCAAAGATTTTATATACACCACTGTCATATAAGAAATTACATATGAACATATAAATACTTGTCACTAATTTGTTCCACATGGATAAATTGTAACATATGAATAAAACAAGCAATAGAAAGGCAATAAGGAAGAGGGTCTTACTTGTATTATTTCCCAAAGGGAAAATGGCCAGGTTGGTAGTATGTTCTAACTTTGAACTAACATGTGGGTTCTTCTGTTCTCCCTATTGCTGTGGGCTTACAATGAAATCTAGTGCCTTATTGATCTATATCATCCGCAGCTAGCATAGGTAGATATGCCTTGCCTCTATGTGTGCTAAATAGCAACTGAGGTTTTGTTATATCACTTACCAGCTGTCATGTGACCTTCATAAGCATGACAATTGCTCTTGGCATCCTTACAGAAGGAAGTGACTACTTTCATTGCTACACATTAAGAAATTTTTGTGCATGTTTACAAATAGTTACAAAAAAATTTGATATGATTGACTTCTGTTCAAGCTTTATAAGCAATTATTACTTATAAGTTGGCAATGAAGAGAAATTTGGCATGTGGTATGGCTTAAATGGTTTTTAGTGGTGACATCATCATTTCCAACGATAACACTAGTTATAAAGCAAGATGTTAATTTGTGTATTTTAAATTTGGAACTGGACTGACCATCTAGTTAAATGGGGTACATCAAATACATTGATTGCATGTTTTACTGACAGAATAGGGGTATGTCTAATTTAAGAAAAATCACTTGTTTTTATAGAAAGTATAATACAGTTATCTATTCAGAATTAAACAGAAAAAATTTAAATTACAGATATAAACTCTATATACATTGAACTTTTTTTTTTTTTTTTTTAATCCCCTTGATTTATCTTATATCTGTTAATAAATTCAATTGATATCATATTATAATTCTGTCCTGGGTAAGATGTTAAACTACATCCTACAGCAAGGCCTCTGATCAGGAGGTTTTGAGGAGCATGGAACCACCTCTTAATTGCTGGTGTTCCCAGGTCCACCCTGACCTGAGGTGGTAGCACCTGTTAGGGTCCCAGCTATGGGCAAATAGTTAACTATTACCAGCAATACTTTTTTGAAAAAAATTATTACCAGCAATACAATTTTGAAGAAAATATATTACCAGAAATGGATTTTTGACAAAACAAAATATTACCAGCAATAAAAAATGTTGTCAGCATTAAATAACCCATTGAGTTTGATATGCTGTAAAACAAAATAAACCAAACCAATCTAAACCAAAGAATACATGTTCTATTCATACGAATCTATCCTAAAAATGTTGTCGGCATTAAATAACCCATTGAGGTTGATATGTCATTAAACAAAATACACCAAACCATATTATAATTGTAAACAGTTTGTGAGGAAATTAAACTACATCACTGTATCTGCTTTTAAATATGGACCTTGCATTGATGCCATAAGACAGTTGAGTGATTGATAGAACCAATAAATAATCTACTAGTGAAAATATTTTATAAAAAATCTGAAAATTTATAAATTATATGGAATTATTTTCAATATTGAGTTAAAAAATGAAACTTTGGCAAACATAGACAAATGTGTCAAAAGGATGGTTTTTCCTATGACAATGCTTTTTTTTTTTTTTTTTTTTTTTTTTTTTTTTAACTACTTTCACTCTTAGTTTTCAGCAATATTTGTTTAAAAAATCAATGATTAGGATTGCAATAAAACCTAAACATATGATGAAAGTGAATTTATACATTATTTTGTTCTTGAGAATTTACAACAAAAATATTGAACACTATTTATTAGATTGTTTATTTACAAGAATAATTTTATTTACAACATTCTAAGATACAATTAGAACTAAATGCAATATTTATCATTTATCAATTTATAAAAAAATAAATGTGAAAAAATTTTTATTCATAAATTTATAAACATTTACTAAATTATTAAAATTTTTGAAACAACTATAAGGAAATCCTTATTATTTACTATTTTATAAAGTTTGAATTGATCCAATGTTTTGCCAACCATTCTAATAATATAATAGTGTAATTAAAAAATCTAATAGTGTTCATTATTTTGGTTATAAATTCCCAAGAACAAAGAAAATTTATAAATTCACTTTCATATGTTTCTTTTATTACAACTCTAATCATTGCTTTTTAAAAAAAAATAAACATTACCAAAGAGTGAAGGTAGTTAAAAAAAAGCAGTGTCATGAGAAAAATCATCCTTTTGACATTGTCTTGTGGGTACATTTGTCCATGTTTAAATAAAGCATTATTTGTTTTTAATTTTTTTTTACTGGTATTTCTGTCTTTCTTATTTCTGTTAAACTATCAGCTATATAGTTTAACAAAAACTAATTATAGTAGTAGACTAAACTGTTTTAGAATTAAACAAAAAAAAATTTTAATTATGAATATATAGTTTTAAATTTTCTTTTTAATAACCTTGGTTTATCTTGTGTACTAAAGTATCATAAACAGTTTGTGAGAAAATTATACTATATTGCTTATACTACTTGATGACTTAAGACAACAGTGATTGATAGTTTTTTTTTTTTTGTCTTTATTCTATCTACTAAGACAAAAAAGCTATAAAAAGGATCAACAATATCATAAATGGAATTATTTTCAATTTTGTGTTATAAAATGAAACTTACTATTTGAAATTCTTAAATGAAGCATTATCAGTTAATATTAATATCAATTAATATGGCTAGTATTTCTTTCATCTAATTTCTGTTGCTTTATTTATACTTCTAGTAGTAGGCTAAATTTAATGAATAAAAATATTTCTGAAATTGCCTACTTATCATTTCCTTAACACCTCATCAACATTAACATCAGCATTCTTAAGGACAAGACAATCAGCTAACTTTGTTTCTGAAACCAGATACTTGAATAAACAAAAAAGATCGAAGACCAGTACAAACGTGAAGGACAATCCTACTTGCACTCACTGACCACTTACTAGGGTGTTGCAACCTAGAATGGATTACTGAATGAGGAATAACCAAAATGGTGATTGGAAGTGAAATGGTAGTCTTTATCAGGAAAATACAATACTCACCAGTGGTGTGAAGTAGGTAAAGCACTGCTAGTGGTGGACTACTTAGACAGCATATTATCCCTGACTTACAATAGTGTCCAATGTATTTATGAGGATTGGTACATACCCATTAGTGTTCCTTGAGTTTAGTTCTCTCCTCCCTTTTATCAGGCTGAATACTTGCTATGAAGGAGGGGTCTCACTCTGTTCCAGCATACCACAAGATACAAACTCTTTGGCACAAGGTGTATTCATAAAAAAAGAAAATAGACCCTCCAAAACAATGTTTACTTAGCATTCAGTCATTTTGAATTTAAAGACCAACATTCTGCACCAACCCCCACACACTAGTGGCAATTATCAATTCTTAACTAGTATTTCTCTTGCTTTTTAATGCAACTCTAAAACGATCATTCCACAATTGTTAGTAAGCAGGGTGTACTGGAAATGAACCAGCTCCCAGCAAGACTTCAATTTGCATCTCTTATTAGACAAGCTCTTAGAAATAAGACACTTGATTTTGTATGACAGTGGCTTGTTTATTCTTAATCCATATTGCTTACTAATGATTGTTGAATAAAGATCTGGAAGTTGCAAAAAGAAGTAACGGAAATAAGATAAAAGAAATAAGTTAAAAAAAACAAAACATTTTCATTTTTCACAGAAATGGCCAAAGGTTATTTGGTTACTTCACATTATCATAAGGAATTTCTGAAGGTTTGGGTTATCAAGCACAAAATGTGTTAGTCATCCAGTCACATGACCTGAAAGCCATTGTTTAATTGACAATGTACCATTTTACTTGAATGAATAATTATTACTCATTTTTCTATAATTAGCAGTAAGTTAATGGCATATTCCTCAATGTACAATCTAATAAAACTTGACAAACTTTTAGTTAAGTGAATGAATAAAAAGTTCAAAGATTTAGCCATTGACAATGAGTTTCACAAAAATTACATTGCTCTACAAGATAGATCAATTGAATTTATTAACATATATCTACTTTAAAATATGTTACATAAAAAACATTAAATTTGTTTCTTAAGGATATTATGTGGCATAATCTGAAATTGTTTGATTATGTATTAGATAATTTTTATGTTATAGAAAGAAATTTGTGTAAAAGTCTTGAGTAAATAAATATAGAAAATGGTTATAAATATGTAAAGTTTATTGAATTTTAGATAACATTTATATTATAATATTAAAAATACTGATTATATTATTGTGCAAACAATTATTTTTTGGTTAAGCATTTATTTATTTGTAATTTGATTTTTTTTTATATTATTTGTATATATAAATTTGTCATTTTTTTTTCATAATTATTTTTTAGTTTATGCATTTATTAATTTGTAATTTTAATATTTTTAATTGAGGAAAATCTTTTTATATTTTATATATATATATATATATATATATGTGTGTGTGTATTATTTTCTTTTTTCATGTGTTTTTCATAAGTAATTTTTATTTTCTGCATTTATTTTTAATTTTAAATTTTTTAATTTAGAAAAACATCTCATCTTGTTTTATATATATAAAATTTTCTTTTTTTCATGTCATTTTTTTCATAATTTTTTAGTTTATGCATTTATTTTTAATTCTAATTCTTTTTTTAACTTAGAAAAATCTTTTTTCATATTATATAGGAGGCATGGTGGAGTAGTGGATAGCAGCTCAGATTGAGGAATCTGAGAGCCAAGTTCAAATTCTATTCAAATCTGTTACATTTGCTTGTGTGCTAATACTCTTGGGAAAGATATGAATCCTTTGCTTCTCCCCCCAGCTATGGGTAAATAGCAGAACAGACTGGGCTCTCTAGCTTTGGGTGGCAACCGATCTAGAAGTACAACTCTGAATTCAAACCTACAGAAGGTTGTTTGGGGACCTGTAGCATACGGTGCATCAGGTCTCTGTATTCAGCTCTTCCAAAAAGTTTAGTTGGTTCTGCACAAAACCTTCACCACTATAATCAAATCATGTGTGCAGGTGACTGTCTGTTCATAGGAACTGAATTACTTGACCCTCATACATTGAAAAATGACGGGGAGTGGGGGGTAATTTTTTTTTTCCACTCTTATGGGTATGAATATTTGTAAATAAATTATAAAACATTATAACTATTTTTAAAACGGTCATTTGGATTGCCACACTCATAGCAAATGAATCCTGTAAGTCTTAAAAGAAAAAAGATAGCTTTTCATCAGATCTCTGATGCTACAGAATCACAAAGACCTCTACCAAATAACAAAAAGCACATCACTTGAAGACTTCCAACAGCAGCAACAACTAAAATGGATATGTAATTAGAAGGGAAATTAATGATATAATCAAGATGTTGGTTATCTTAAACAAAAGGTTAGGCAGGAAAACTCAGTACTAGAAAAAGCAATAAAAGTAGATTTTAGAAGTCTTTTTTTTTCCTGAAAGACTGTTTTAAAGAAAAGGATTTTATAAATTTTATCTGACAGTAACACAAATTTTTCTGTCAATGAATGCCAAATGTTTCCTGTATGGAAACGGCTAATCTCACCATTACTATAAATTTGTGCATATATATTTTTTTTCTAGCTTGTTTGTATTTTTTCCTATTTGCTTGCTAATTTTTTTTTTTTTTTTTTTTTTTTTTTTTTTTTTAAAGTATTGCAATTGAAGATGGCACCATTGTACAAGGGTTAATTAAAGAGCAGTTTCATATATTATTGAACTGAATTGTTACAGGACAATAGCATAGTGAATTAAAGCAATGGTGTGTGAATTTGGTGACCTAGTAATTGTGGGTTGGGCAGGGTGTACTTGGACTCAATGGAAACGGTAATAACTGAACAGTACAAAATGAAAACTAGAAGAGATATTCCTAGACATGTGCAGTGGAATGAGAACAATCTACTTTCATAGATTAAATAAAGGGTTCATTTGTGAAATTCTCTGTTCCTCTGATCAATATACACATGATGAAGGCTGAAGGGCACAATATCTGAAACATAACAACACTCACACGGATGTCATGTATAACATCCAACTCGTTCAGAAATGTCATATACAATTGTTATCTTGGATCAGTGATTAAAATTGGCTTCGTGCAAATGTGTCCTCAAAAACTGTCCTTCATCAGATCTCATAGACTGGTGCTACAGAATCGCAAATATCTTTACCAAATAACAAAAAGCACATCACTTGAAGACTTCCAACAGTAGCAGCAGATATCCCTCGACATGGGCAGTGGAATGAGAACAATTTATCCTCATAGATTAAATAAAGGGTTCAGTTTTGAAATTCTCTGTAGGTTGCTCTGATCAATATACACATGATAATGGCTGAAGGGTACAATATCCGAAACAACAACAAAGATTAGGACAATAGTCCACATTTAAATAATGTAAATGTCTGAATTCAAATTTGGAAATATAAAAGAACACATTTCTGTATATAAATTTCCTCAAAGTCTCGTATGATGTTACAGGTAGCAGTACAGCATGCATAGTTGCCCTTCATCGGCAGGAGCGAACCATTTACACAGCAAACCTAGGAGACAGTGGGTTCTTAGTCATTCGCCATGATGAAATTGTCCACCGATCACAAGAACAGCAGCATTACTTCAATACTCCATTCCAGTTATCAGTTGCACCCCCACCACAACAGGGACATGTCATAAATGACAGGTAAGTTAAAACGAATCATATTTCATGAACTGATATATATTTCTTATTACTATGAGCTTTATTTTTAGTGGGTACAATTGTTTGAGTTGATATCTACATAATTTTTATTATTTGCTTAAACAGTGAAATTGATATCAACTGGCCTAGATCGAAAAGTATACTAATACATTAAAGAAAAATGTGCCTCTGACAGGTATCAAACCTCTGTACCGTTTATCCATCAGGGAAACAAGTCCTATAGCCAAAGTGTGCCGTTACCGATTTAGCCATGGGAGATTATTTTTGATAAAGCAAACTTCAATTTATCTATTTTAAGAAAATACACATCTTTCATTGGTAACAGCTCACTTTAACTATAGGAATGCTTTCCCTATTGGAAAAAGGTGATATAGGTTCAATTCCTGTTGGTAGGTAAATAAAACGGGATATAAGTTCAAATTTTTTTTTTTTTTTATCAATGTTGTTCACTCTGTACAAAGCCCAGGAACCACACGAGGTAGATGGCAACAGAGTAAGAGTCAAGGTTTATGCAGATATCAACAATTTGCCCTTGCATGGAGTATTGCTGCCATATATTGCCTGGAGCCCTTTCTGTTTGCCTCAGGTTTCTTGATAAGCTCTAGAGGTGGATATGCAGTTGCTCTCTCACAAACGCGCCGTTGCCTCTCTCTGTCTTTTTTACAAATACTTTCAAGGTAATTGCTCTGAGGAGCTGCTTTCACTGGTTCCCAGACTTCATGAATTCAAGCGCCCTACGAGGCTGGCATCCCGCTCTCACCCTTTCACTGTCGAAACTCCTAAATATAGCCGTCTCTTCTACTCCAATAGCTTCATGTCCTGCACCTCTCGCCTGTGGAACTCCCTTCCCTATTCCGGTTTCCCTGAGAGCTATAATCTTCAACTATTCAAATGTAATGTCAATCAACTTCTCCAGTTGCCTTGATCTATCCACTGTCCTTCTCCTCATCCTTTCCTCTATCTGATCTTGCTCCAAATTTTCTGTAACCCCTTGCGTCCTAGTGACTTCCTGCCTTGCTTGGGGTGAAACGCTTAAAAAAAAAAAAAAAAAAAAAAATGAAAATAAAAAAGATATGTAGGGAAGATAATGGTTAACACTAGACTTGAACAGGTTAAGATTGTAGTGATTTGAGAAGCATCTGGTTAGTAGTCGGTCCAACAAAGCAATGGTTCGAAAGAAGAAGCTACTTGAGTGGAACTTATATCTCACCAATAGAATATGAAGGGAATGAGGGTGGTTTGATACCATGTGAATGTCATGGGAGGAGGTCTTAGATGGTTAGCACTGGTAGAACTAGGGAATGTAGTTCATATGAACAATTTCCATGGAAATAGCAATAAAGCAGTGAGAAACTTGAGACGTTTAATCTATAAGAAAGGGGTTGCAGGGTGGAAATAAAGGATGCAGAGATGCTTTTGAGCTCTACTGAGACTGGAAAGTGAAGACTGGGCATCTATCCATATACAACAACAGCATACCATTTTTTGCCTGCTCTGGCTCTTGTAAAGATAGAGGATAGCAGGAGGAGTCCAGTACTTACTGGAGGTGTATAAGGAACTGACCATTCCAGTTGGTTAAGAAAATAAAAAAAAAAAAACAGGGATGTCACCTTGGGACATGTGTACCCTCTAAAAATAAAATTTATAGTAATAAGAAATAGATTTAAAAAATCCATTTAAAAATTACTAATATATTACCAATTTGTGACTGGTAGGGATAATTCCAAGGAGGATATTAATCCAGAGAGCTCTCAATGTAAACTACAGAGCATTACAATAATAATGAATCAAGAAGAAAACTTTAAAGATCTATTTTGGTTATAATTTATTTTGTGAATAATATTTCTATATATTCATCTCTTCAGACTGAGAGCTTTTAATAAATTAATAGCAATCAAGAGCTTTCAGTCTGAAGAGATGAATATATAGAAATATTATTCACAAAATAAATTATAACCAAAATAGATCTTTAAAGTTTTCTTCTTGATTTGATATATATATATATATATATATATATATATATATATATATATATATTCAAATTAATAAATAATGCAGTTTAATTAATATCATAAAATTGTTAATGATGAATTCACTTCGCTATAAGATTAAAAAGGCATTAACTTACTGACCATTCACTGAACGACAGAATCCTTGTTTTTATTAATTGTACAATGGATTAGATGTTCAATCCATATTGTTTGCAAGTACTTTTGGTGAAAACATTCACCATCTCCAGGCATAGATGTTATTTTTTTTCTCGATTTTAGGTAATTTCGGATAAAAATTACGAGACTAAAACAAATGTGATACTGAAAGTGCTTGGGAACAATATGGATTGAACATGTAATCAATTGTACAATTAATAAAAACAAGGATTGTGTCATTCAGTGAGTGGTCAATAAGTTAATGACTTCTTAATCTGTTAGTGAAGTGAATTTGCAATTAATTACATTAACTTTATTGATTTATTCTTTGAATGACTATTTTACGATATATGACGCATGGACATAGTAGGTGCATCCTCATTTCAGTAGGGCAATATGAGTAGATAGGTTTGCCTATCATCTGGTTCATACTCCTTCCCAATTTTTTGAATAGGAGTAGAGGTTTAACTTTGTTCCCTGTTTAGGATTGGGTTTCTGGTTCTTTCTATAGTTTACTTTAATTTTGTACTTCTAACGTCTGCACCTGAACTCTGAATTGTTTTTCACTAATTATTTTTTTTCTCTCTACTCCCTTAATAGGAGCAGATAGGTTCATCTGGTTCATACACCTCCCCAATTTTTTGAACAGGAGTAGAGGTTTATCCCTTGTTTCATGTTTAGGATTGAGTTTCTGGTTCCTTCAAGTCTATACTTCTTACATCTCTGCCTGAAAATCTGAAATTTTATTCAGTAGAAACTTCACACAGTAACCCTCTACCTTGAGTGGCCTTTGGGCCTTGTACTGGGTGAACATTAGTAAAAAAAAAAATATTCAGGAAATTGTTTTGTCTATTTAATGCATCAAACAAGCTATCAGTACATTACAAAAGCATGTTAGCTGTAGTAGGAAACCTTACTGTATATAAAAAGCAAGTACAGCTGAACATACCCACACCTTCACCAGTCATTCTTCTTTGGCTGCTTTGTGTGTTGGAATGTATCACAAAAAATTAAATGATTTTGTCTCTTTCTCTCCTGCTGTCGTAGCGACGGACACAGTCTCCACTTCTGAGACTGAAAACTGCCCTCCTTCTCATTCCAGCCCTTTACATAGAGCTTAGTAACTCACCTATGCAAAACACCAACAAGCCAGCTATCAATCACAGTTCCCGCGCCTGCCCACCTCCACTCGCTTTGGGGGTTTTAAGTTGACCGACCAACTCATTACACTTTGTATAACATTGATGGACATATTTCTCTGCAGCCTTTGTCATATTTCCTAGTTTAATTTTTACCATTAACAATATTTTATTTCAGTTATATCTCTCTCTCTCTTCCCTAGTTTCCAGCTGGTTAATAAGAATGTGTTGAAGCATATTTAGTACTGACAAACATCACCAGTACTTTGTTACATTGATTCTGTTATAGACAAGCGTATGGTTGAAAGAAAGAAATACGACAACAGCAGAAATACATTTATGTGATTTATTTCAATAGGAACATGTGGTTTTGGGACAGCTACCTTGTGGTATAGTTCATAGGCTGGCTGAAGATCTGGGTTGATCTCTCATAGTAGTTCTCGCTGGTTGGTGTGGCACTACTGCTGCTGGCTGCTGCTGACCGCTCAGCCTGATCGTGCCAGGTTTCTAATCTGGCCTCCTGTTGACTGCCGTTGTACTTCCATGTGACCCCTTTTATGGTGTTTTTTTATGGCTTAACAGGCTCGAAAAACGACGCGATTATAATTAGGAGGGAAGAATTTTTATTGGTCGAAAAATAGAAACACTTTAAAATATTATTTTATTTTTTGACCGGAACTCATGCATCGGGAATATGCGTAAATGCGTAAATATGGTCATTTTGTGATGGGGCTTTGTCCCGTTCACATCCGGCTCTCGCTCTTGAGTATGTTAGTTTATTTGCCTGTAAATCAGCCGAGATATGTCTTATTTTATTTTATAACAATTCTTTTTACAAAACTGGTGGTGGTAATAGCAATAATAATAATAATAATGTTTGAGTAAATAATATTATTATGAGTCTGGTTAGTTAAATATATCTAAGATAAAATTATAGCCCATGGTAGTGAGTATTGCAGATGAAATTATTCTATGCAAGGCTTTAATTTTCCATATGAGAATTATAAGTTTTTTCTTTCTTATTTTAAAAGTGTCTTTTTTATGCTACCAAGTACAGTAATTTCCATATTTTTTTTTTTTTTTTTTTTTTTTTTTTTTTTGTCATATTCTGGAATCTTTGTAAAATTTGTAGAATTATATGGAATGGGTGGGTGCCACTGGTATGAAGTTTTCTTACGGCATAGAAAATTCTGTATAATTTATGAATTATTATATTTACTGTACATACTTGTGTATCATGCAACTTTTTGAAGACCTAATTTTTAAGCTAATTTTAATGGGGTCACATCATACATGACATATAATATTAGCATATGTACGGCTAACCCTGATTATGCCATTGACCAAACTATATATCTATTTATAATAGACAAAAATAGAGCTGTATTTAAAATAAACATGATTTTGATAAAACTGATGTTTTACTTAATTGTATCCAATAATAGTGTATGTAATATTCACATATTGATATTGTATTATAAAATACAAACATAGGGAATATGCATCTTTTCCATTGTTTACATTTATGTTTAGCTGTTTCTCGTTTGGTTGTTTATTGCTGTATGTGTTTACACAATGAGTGTAGCATTACTAATGATACGTTTATCATTCTCTTTTACTTTTTTAATTTGTTTAACTAAAGGATGGGATAAAGAGATAGAGGAAAAGAGGTTAGTCTATTGTAATTTGGTCGCTCAAAAAAGAAACTTGCATGATACATGTGATACATGATAAAATCATTTTTTGTAAGTGAAAATTTGGGGGGTCACATGATATGCAAGATTGTGCGTTACACAAGGATATACGGTACTCACTTTTTTTCAAAAGATTTTGTTTTATCAACAGTCCTGACATGGCTGAGAGTTCTTCTTTCGGTGTCCAAGAAGGTGACATCATCCTTTTGGGAACAGATGGTTTATTTGACAACATGAATGAAGACATGTTGCTAGATTATGTCTCGAAATTAAAGGTAAGGCATATTTGAATAACATTTAATAGAATCTGTCAGCCAAGTTAAAATTTTAGCTTCATTTACTGCATTCTCTTTCACACAAATGTCCTTAAGGCAAACATGAATCCATCTCTTCTTCCCCTAGCTATGGGTTAAATAGCGGAGTAGACTGAGCTCCCTAGTCTTTAGTGGCAACCAATCTAAGGGAAGAGTACTTTGAATTCCAAACTGTGAACTAGAAACCACTCCCCTATCTTTCCAAAGAAGTCAGATCAATTCACAAATAATAATAAAATAGGATGTCCTTGGTGAACCATAATTGCCTACATTCTGAAAGGACATGGTCTTTTTAAAAAGAAAAAAAAAAAATTTTTAATTATGATTGGTGGTAGCAAAAGATACAAAATGTTATCTTGAATATCAAATGCATGGTTGATAATCTTTTTACCCCCATTCCCTTTGGAGAATTCAGATTTATGTCATATTACTTTATTCTCTGTTCAACTTCTATAAAAGTTTGCCTGTGGTCATTCTACAGAATTAGATCAGCTCTTACATAACAAAAATAAACCCATCTAACAAGATATCTTATTACTAAATTATGTAAACAAGATTACTTCTCTTACAATCCTGTTTGTAAATTCAAACATAACATGTATTGCTTTTCTTCTACTCTGTCATAAGATTGGATTTTGATTAGCCACATAATGAAAAACATGTTTTTGTCAGCATTTTGAGTAGGTAGTGACACAGTATTATGTATAAACTAATGTACCCATGCCATCAAAAATGACTGCAATTGTTAAAGTTTTAATAGTGAGATGCAATGAAACAAAAGTCTTTAAACAGCATATTGAGATACAATAAAAATGGAGATAAAAAATTCACAACTAACAGGCCAATAAACCATTTAATTAATTCATCCCCTTTATATTCTTTTAGATGTTCAATGGTATCTATGATTTATTGATCACTCCTGGTATTATATAAATCACATTTTGCTCAATATCTTCATTTAAAAAATTTTGTGTGTTTAATATAACAGTAAAATGGAAATATCTCTTGGAAGAAAAAGGTTAGCAACAGAACAACAAAAACTGACAACAAAACCTATTTCAAACCTAAGAAGCAAGATGATCACTTAATAGACAAAGGTATCTGAGTGTCTCACATGAAAGGCTTGAACAAATAAGACTGCAATCTAAGAAACATAGGAATAAAGTAAAGGTACTGATTAATTAAATGGTTTATTTTGCTCACGAAGTAATTTTGTTGAAATGCAGATAAAAATTTTATTTATATAAATTATTAAAACTACTAAAGGAAGTAATCACTCATAAATTTAATAACTTAATTTAATTTCCTTCCCACTACAGATGGGACAGGAAATATATAAATGAATACACATTTTTGAAATTTTAGACCTGTAGTTGAGGGCTGAATATTTTCAGACATTTAGTTTGCTGATGTGTGTAGGACTAAAATAGAACAATAGAGATTCTCTAGACACAAAATTTAATTCATGAAAAGCAGGTATTAGTAACAGTAGTGTACAAAGGAAAAAATGAAGACAAAATCCTAAATTTTACTAGCTGATGATTTGCAGATGAAACTGTGATCGAGGAAAGGTTTAGGATTTTTATTTATTACATTTTAGAAAAATTTTATTTGCCCTGTATTTTCTATTTTTTTGAGAGTACATTGAGTATGTTTTTATTCATGCAACCATTTCTCTGTAAACAGTAAGTAGTTGGCTTGCCAATTTTGTTGTATATTTTCACAAATCATATAAGGAAAATAAATGACAAAGTGGAAAATTTATTTTGTGATGCATTTTGTCCTTTAGGACTTCATTGGATTAAAGTGAGCTTGCTGTGTATGAAGGGAAAGGGACACTGAAATCTTAAACTTCTAAATTTTTTTTTTTTTTTTAGATCTGTTTCAGTATATAACAACCAATTATTTCATTTAGTTTCTTTTTCATTATTATGCTTTTATCACTTTTTGTTAAGTATCCCACGTGGTGATAATAGATCTGCCAAGAAAGGTAAAATATTATAATCTGGACACAAATTTACTATGAATGATCTAGCGATTAAAGCACTTTCTATACAGTTCTGTCTTAATAAAATGCCTTCTCTTTTAATTAAAATAGCATTTTTTAAATTAAAATTATTTTCAGACTCAATATGGTGAGTAACTAATGCATTGAGTGTGTTGCTTTGTAAAAAAAAATACCCTAAAGGATGAAACTGGTTAAAAAATAATTTTTTCCACTTTGTCATTAATTTTCCTCACACACACACACATATATATATATATATATATATATATATAGCAGTCTAATAGAGATAAGAGAAGAAAAAATGTAACTGTACCTTATTTGGTCAACATCTACTGGTGAAATCTTTGCAGCTTAATCAGTAAAGCATTAAGGAAGTATTCAAATCACACAGAACCTTATTCTTTTTCTGTTTCATAATTCTTGGGTAAGCAGCAGGAATCAGAAAAGGAATAAACTTTGTGTAGTGATGGAGGAGAAAACCATGAAAAAGAATTTGTGTTCTCTGTTGAAAAAGAAACTCGGCATCAAGATTGAGTTAACTATAATTGGTCTTAAAATATGGTAATTGTTTGTACTTTCATACCAATCTCAACTGATCACAACCTTTCTTACCCCAGTAAAAGAATGCTACTTTGGACGAATTGGCTCCTTGTGGGTGAAGAAGGTAGTTGTGCATTGGGAGTTGTGGATTTTTGAATCTTTTGATTTAAGCCCCTGGTATTTTCTGACAATGAACTTGAGACTGATATTAAGTTTTGGAATTACAACCTCAGATTCAGATTTTTGGGATCTGAACCTCCCTTTTGTTATTTATCTCACTTTAGTTGCAGGTCAATCTGAGAATTTTGATAAAAAGCAAGAAATACTTGTAACCCCCACCCCACCTCACCTAAATAAAAAAAACAAATCTCTATTATAATAATCTGATTTGTATATGCTACCATAACCTAGAAAAAGTCTCACATTGTAGAATAATTTTTTATAGAAAAATAAAATTAAAATACTTGAATAAAGCAATTTCCAGTTTAATTGACCCACTGGTTTCTGAGTAATCTGGACATAAGCAGATCTTTACCATGACACAACGATTGGCTGTCAAAAGGAGATAACTCCATGTTAGTCCAAGGGATATAACTCCGTGTCTATTACTAGTAATTTATTTCCTCGAGATTTTTTAAGAGGAATAAACAGAAGAAACCTTGTCTGTACATTCTCCATCAGCCATAGTGCCATACCTGTGACATTTTAATAATTGGTAATAATTAAGGTTAGTAATCATTAGAATTTATAACTATAATATAAATTCTATAAATAAGAATTGGCTTGATATTGAGTGACTGCTAACAAAAGCAGCATTTAAGCAAGTAATAATACTGTAATTAGCTAATTGGACATACTAAAATCTTTTGAAAATATCTGATGTTGACATAACTTTTAAATAATATATTAAATCTATTTTACCAGGACCACAAGCAGGACAATGTACAAAATACTGCCAGTAAAATAGCAGAAGAAGCCCACCAATTGGCCTTTGATCCTGATTATCTCTCACCCTTTGCTCTTACAGCCATTGATGCTGGCATAGAATTACGTGGTAAGTTGTTCAGTATTTTTTTTTTTTTTTTTACCACTAGGGCACAAGGATCTGCTGTGAATGAAAGAGAATGAAAAGACTTTACTGAGGAGAAAGGACAAACAGGAAGACAAAAGATAGTGATATGCATTGCATTTAAATTTTTAGCAAGAAATCAGAAGGGATTTCCACAAGCAAGGAGTGCAAGAAAAGAAACTATTAGAATAGAACATATGGTTGCACCTAGATAGTTCAACAGTAAAACGATGAGACCCAGTTACCAATCTAGTAGTATGCTTAAATTCATGCAGTCAAGGCATCTCATCAGGACAATTGCTATGAAAATATTTGTAAAGACAGAGGGAAGCCGCGTCACATCAGTGAGAAAGTTGAGATGCCAGGTCATGATCAATTACATTACAGACCCTTCTTTGAATTTTATCAAGAATCTTGAGATATATAGTAGGAGCACTAGACCAGATATGACAGCAATATTCAATGCACAGGTGAATAGTAGATTTAAAAATGTGCACGATGGATTCTAACAAGAATTGTCTGACACAACTCACCGAACCAACTTTCTTAACATAAACCTAGCAATTGATTCAATATAACAACTTCATGACTTTTATTTACTTTCATATATAAGTCATCTTTGGGAAAGATGTAATACCTATTCAAGATGTAACACCTGAGGAATCGGAGAGCCAGGTTCGAATTTCAGTCAAATTCATTATATTCACTTACATGCTAATACCCTTGGGAAATGTATGAATCCTCCTCTTCTCTCCCCAGCTATGGGTAAATAGCAGAACAGACCAGGTTCTATAGCCTTGGGTGGCAACTGGTCTACCGCAGAAAGAAATGGCAACCTACTATAGGGAAAAAAATCTGCCTCGTCAGTCATGTATCAAAAGATACATGATTGCCTAAGCATTTATCATGGCACATAATTGACTGTAACACCTATCAGCTTTCATATACTTAAAAAATCTTTGAGATATAATGAAAAGTATGTACCCAAAAAACATAATTGCTGTCTTTCTTTGAAATAATAAATTTCATGAGAGAATATTATAATACAAATAATACTTGTTTTTAGTTAAAGTACCATAATTATATTCAGGGTATCTGAGAAAATATTATTACAGTATTATGGAGTTAGGCTGCATACAAGTTCTTATATATTACAGTGTCTGGGTAAGCATTAGTATATCACATACCTAAAATTCATGTTATATATGCATAAGACAAAGGGAAAAATTATCTTAGCTGATGCATTTCATCCTCTGATGGGATTTATCAAGGCAAATGTGAGGATTTTATTTTGCAACAAATATTTATAAACAAAAGTAAAAATGTTAGTTTTTCAAAATTTTGAAATTTAAGAAATGTTTATAAATATTCATCAGGCTAATTGAAAAGTTTTGGTAAATTATGGAGGATGCTAAGTGACATAATTTAATGTCTAATAAAGAAAAGTGAGTAAATGATGTTGAATTTTTTTACATGCACACACACATATATATATATATATATATATATATATATATATATATATGTGTGTGTGTGTATATATATATATATATATATATATATATATATACACACATTCTAGTTCAAAAGAATTAGCATGGGATGAACCTGACAGAAGAGTGAAACCTTTCCACCCAAAAATGAAAAAGAGCTCTTAGAGTCATTGAAAAAAGAATAGAATCAATTAGCAAAAGCCAAATATTTGTGCTGCAGTAATCAAGGCTAAAGGAAGATATTTTGATGAGAGCAAAACTTAATCATGAAATGCTTTTTTTTCTTTTTGTCATAATAAAATTTCAAATAAAAAAAAAAAATTTTTTTTTTTTTAAAATATGTATAATAATTTTCTCTTATTTAAAGTACAAAACAACTACTTTTGGGGCCAAAAAATTAACAGGTGGCATCAAACTTTTGAACTAGTGTGTGTGTATATATATATATATATATATATATATATATATATATATATATGTGTGTGTGTAACTATGATTTCTGTTTAGATGAAACATCAATTGCCATCTTCTGTCTTCCTGAATCCTGTTTCTTTATTTTTCTTTATCTTCACTAATGTTTTCTCATGTTCTTTCACTCTAACTCCTTGCCTCTTAGTGGCATTAAGGTCTTGCTTGGTGTGAAATGATATATGGACTGGAGTATACTTTTTAATCATTTTGAGCACAAATATCTGAGTGATGTTTGATATCAAATATGGTAATGCCTGTCAATATTATTGCTTTCGGGCAGTAACGGAAGCTAGTGTACTTGTTATAGTGATGGTTGAAGAGTTTGTCTTGCAAACTATTGCTTGTAATTTTGATTCAATAATCTGGTCTTGTGTCAAACTTATCTTCAGCCAATAAATATCTTCATGCAACAAATAAGGTAAACGTCCTAAATTTTTAACATCTCCCAAAAGTAATCATTCCTTCTCTTCCCACCAAAAAAAAAAAAATGTCAACATTCAGACTCTACAGAAGATAGATAAGTTTTTTTTTTACTGAATTTACATATCTGTCATTTCAAGCTAGAGTATCTAAAAAAAAAAAAAAATTTAATAATAAAAAACAAGTTTGGAATTCAGCCCATTATGACTTGGCATAAAATAAATTTCACAAAAAATCTTATTTATACACAATTTATCCATTCAAGTTTTTTTTTTTTTTTTTTTTTACTTCTTTAGCACTCTGTAGGTTATTTTGTTCACTAAGCAAAATTTTGTCCTGCCACTGCAGCCAATTACAATTTTTGGATGTTGTAGTTGTGCTGTCAGGTCCTGCTATGGCAACATCAAAAATAATCTTAATTGAAATTGAGAATAAGACTACTTCAGGAGTATGATCAGAAGAAGTAATACCTGGAAATAATATAGGGTGCTAAAGGCTAAAGAAGTAAAAGTTCTTCTATATTTCTGTAGGGTAATTTATAAAGCACTTTTCAGTTTTAACAAAGCTGGATTATACAAAGCTTGATTGCTCATACTGGTATTAAGCATTCATTGCTATCAGTGATTGAAAACCAATTGAAGTACAATGACTTATAAACTATTATTACATATTAGTACTAGTTTAATCTTCTTAGGTGTTCATTATTATGGCCTTGTACCATGCTAGGATAAGTTTGCTAAATATTTACTTAATTTTAATTAACAAAGTAATTTTTTGAACACTATTTACATTTGGACTATTGCCCTCACCCAGCCTTCATCAGGTATGGTTTACGGCCATATTATGTTGAAACACCAGTTCCCTTATGATCACCAAAATTAAGCAATATTGAGTATGGTCACTACTTAGATGGGTAACTGCTTGAGAATGCCAGGTGCTGTAAGCTTGGATGTGTGGGTGGTATAATGGTTCGAAATTGTTAATTGGAGAGCTGAGTTCCAATTCTTGTTGGGTTCATTATATTTATTTACATGCAAATACTCTTAGGAAAGGTATGAATCCACCTCTTTTACCCCCAGCTATGAGTTAATTAGTAAGGATTTTATCACTAAATCATTATTATCTCAAAAAAAAATAAAATTCTTACAATCTAAAAATATTTTCTGGCTTTAAATAACCTGTAAAGGGTTGATAAGTCATAGAAAACAAATCAATCTTCAGGTGTATAACAATTTGGATGAAGGCTGGAGGGATAATGACCAAAATGTTGTGATAACAACAACAAAGATGAGGACAATAATCCAAATGTAAATAGTGTAAATAATGATAATTCCTCAGAATTCCAGAAATTCAAACAGAAACAAAATAATTTATTGAGATGAAAATTTATTGAAAGCAGCAGGAAGTAGAATGAGGTTGGCTAGGTTACCCATCTAGATACATTAGACACCAAAAAGTTAAAACTAATGTTAAGTATTTAGACTATTTACATGGTTTGGACTGTTGTCCTCATCTTTATTGTTATATTCACAACATTTTGCCTGTTGTACACTCTGACCTTTGTCAGGTGATTGAAATTTCAAACTGAACCTTTTATTTCATCCAATTGTTCTAGTTCCACATGCCGCGCCTCTTCTGGATACCTCAGTTTCAATTATTTCCCTTTGGTAACTCAACTCTCTAAGTTTTTGTTCACCTCTGCTGTGACTAGGTAATGGACTTACTACTCCCTTGAGTCAAGAAACTCGATTACTTCAACCAATGCTTTTATCCACTGGGCCATGTGTATGAATTTTTGGGACTTATAAACCTAATGTCTCGGCAATCATTTTTTACCAGAGCTCATATTACAATTTGTAGTTATTGTTTTTCTCTAGCACTTTGTATTACTGGCTCCCATATTATATTTGTGTCTATGCTTGGCCAGTTTAGGAGTTTTGCAGCCTAACATATGTGTTGATTCCTTAACCTTTTGTATTTTCCATTGATGTTCTCTGTCTAATAATTCAACCTCCTCCCACAGGGAATGGTGATCTCCTGTTTCCTTTAAATTTAAGTATCCCTGTATTTTCTGTGTTTCCTACTCCTATATATATATATATATATATATATATATATATATATATATATATATATAGATATATGATTTCGTTGAGAAAAACCTTTAGTCTGAAGAAGTCCTTTGGAAGAAACATGTAACATAGGATTCCTTTTTCATCCATTTTGTCATTCAATTACTCACTAAATATTTACTGTAAAACTTTTAGCCTAAATGTTAGTGGATATAAATTTTTAACTTTCGTCTCTTTGGGTTATCATTGGCAATGGGAGATGTGCAGGTAGATAAGGCATAACAAGATACCATGTGTCAATGTCTTGTATATTTTGTTGGCAGATGATGGGTTTTATATTCAACACTGAGTTATGACATTGTCGGAGTTAACTCCTCCTTTCACTCCGTTAACCCTTCCACCAGGGGTCTCTCTTCCCTGCCTATAAATAGCCGATGACCCTTCGCCTCATCCTCTTTTTTCCTTCAGGCCTGTGCACTGACACCTTGAGGTAAACTCTCTTATTCCTAGAGGATTTTCAGCTATCAACCTCGAAATGTAGTCGCTAACAAGGGATAGCGTGGAAACACGCTAAGCACAATATTCACACACGCACGCACACACAGAATATTCACACACGCACGCACGCACATACAGAATATTCACACACACTTCGTCCTTTGTACTGTTTCCATGTATTGTAACTTGTTATTAATATATATTTGTATATACATATATTATCGGTCTTGTTTTGATGCTTTCTTTACCTTCTACTTGGTTATTTCTCTTGTTGTTGTCTTTGTTACATTTGATATTGTAAAAATTGTAGAGGGTCAGTTTTTATTTCTATTTATAACCAATATAAATTGGCTGACCCACTATAACATGATGTGTGACAAATATGTTTGTTTAAAAGAAAAGAAAAAAATACTTCAATGGTGTCACTAATTTATATAGTAAGTGAATGTAACAAACAATATTTGTTATTTCAAATCTCTTCATCATCTGTGAGAAGATTGTCAAGCATTCAATGCCATATAGGAGGACTGATAATACATTACAGTACTGTTTCCTTTGTTTCAAACAATAATTTCCTGTTTTCACTTTGCTTAGCTTTTGGCAGGCATCTTTCATTATCTCAATGTGCCTTCATATTTCAGTGTCACACTTATATCCTCTGTTAAAATGTTTCTCACATATTTAAATTGTACTTGTTTGATTTTGGTATTTCCAATTTGTAATTTTCATGTTGGACTGTTCATTTTGGTGGCAACCATATATTCTTTCTTCTTACAATTGAAGTTTAATCCTTTCTTTTCACTTTCCTTTACTAACTTTTGTAGGACCTTGTTTCCTTTCTGTGTCTATTATCAACACTATCATCTGCGTACGTAATGTTATGGCTAATAATGAAAGGACTTCTAATTCTCTCAGAATTATTTCATATAATTGCATTTCCTAAGAGCCTACTAACAATGTTAAGTGAAGATTTTGCAGTACAGAAACAAAGTGGTTTGATACTAGCTTGCTACAGTAAGCATCCTGGTTATTTACTCAGTGTAGATTAATCTGACTTAAGGTCACTAGGGGATGACCTAAAGAAAACTGAACTTGAAAAGCTAGTGAATTAATTTACAAAATGAAAATTGAGCCACTCTGATCTAACTTTTTTGTATTTATTACCTTGAACATTTTAAATACAATTTGTGTTTATTTTTCAGGTGGAAAGCCAGATGACATCACAGTGGTAGTTGCTCGTGTTGCCAGTCTTACAGATAATGAGCAGAGACAGCTCGTATAACAACAGTGGCAGGAGACACAGTGTGTCTCCATTGACAGCAGCACTGTCTGAGTGCTCTTTTAGTAAATTGTTGCTAGTGGACACACTATTAAATATTAAACAAATAAGAATAAAAAAAAAAAAACTGAACTTGAATTTAGATGAATAATAAGTACTTGCCATGATGTGCTAAAAACATCATCCTTCACAAAAAAAAAAAAAAAAAAAACTCATTTGCGTGTGCCATTATCTGACTCTTGAAATGGAAGGCTCATGTTGCAGTTGTACTGAAGAAAAAGAATAACCATAAAGAGACTATTTATTCAATTCTCTCATGTCTGTGTGGGAGTTGCCTGTTTAACATCTAAGAGAAATAATTTAAGGTAATATTTTCTGTCTTCACCTGAAAGAATATCTATATTATTTTTTTTCTTTGAGAGGTGAAAACTGCAAAATTTTACCATTATCTTCTTTTAACCTAATTTAAGCGTTGATTTTTTTTTAACTCCTCAAAGTTTATGTGCAACTCTATTGTCTGTAGATATTAGGTGTTGGTTGTGACTCACTCGGTAAAGATTTTTGTTCTTTAGCTAGGCTTAGTGATTTTCAGTTTGAACCTTTGAGTGAGCATCTAAATCCTGGGTAAACCTTTTATTGGGAGAATGAGAGATATAAATTCTATATTTCAGATTAATGGGGGCCAACTGAATGATAAAATGGGAAAAATCCTATGCAATACGTTTTGTTCTTCAAAAGGATTTCTTCGGACTAATGATTTTATTAATAGAATATATTTAGGAAGAAGGAGCAAAAATATAAACAAATGGCAGTTATAATTAAACATTGAGAGAAATGCTGAAGATATAGGGACGCTTAAGTTCAAATTTCTGGCATCCAATCAAAGCCTAGCTAACTTTGTTCAGCTACTTACTGCTTTTGTTTTTTATTGCATATTGTTTTTAAATATCCCACATTGTAATAGCAGTAGGTTTAAGAAAAGTGAAATGTTGTCTGAATCTGCATGTAAATTTACTGAGAGACTCGAAAAGTAGTACACTTTCTATACATTTTTGCCTCAATAAATCCTTATTTAATTCAAATTTCATTCTTTAATCCATAATTTCTACTGAATCTTCAGCATTCCTTTTTGTTTAATTATAACCTGTTTGTTTATATTTTCATTATTTGCTACATACACATACACACACATATATATCCATCTCCTTCCTCAGCTATGGGTTAAATAGTTGAACTTGTATCTGGAAAAATCATTGTTATGCTAAAAAAATAAATCATTAATGCAATATTCACTTGCAAAAAAGGAAATAATTATTTTTACAATCTAAAATATATTTCAGCTTTAAATAACCAACAAAGCCATAAAAACAATGAATCAATCCATACACTCTTGTGATTCTATCAATAAAAACATTTACTCTGAAAACGTCCTTTTGAAGGATGAAACACGTTACAATTTCTTATCATTCATTTACCCAAATCTTTCATTCCTAATGCTTACTGCAATTAGTCTATTTTTGTGCTCAAAAAATCTGCAGTTTGCAAGATGTCGCTTATCTGGTAAAGACCTTTTTTTTTTTTTTTTTCTAAAATTATGTTCTGCTTCCTTGCATTTGTTCAAAGAGAAATAATTTAGGGAACTTTTTACAGATGTTTACTTTATTTCTTTTGCACATTTTAAATAGTTATTAAGAGAATTACTGTAAAAATTTATTTTGATATTTCCTTTGGGAAAGCATAACTGATAGCCAAATTTAGACTTAGCCTAAAAACAAATCTCTAGACATGGTGTCTTCTGCACTCTATATAAACCATGCTTAAGGACATAACATATCCCTTTATTCGTTAAAAAAAATAGAAAGAATATAAATTCTGGGTTGGGCAACTTTCAGAAATCATGTAAAGAAAGTTTCTCCAAATTGAGAGCATAATCTTTGGTCTTGTGATCTGTATATGAAATTACTGTTTGCATTACAATTTGACAGCCTTGTAATAAATGGCTGCTGGTTTCAAGAAAAATATCATTATCAAAATAAGATGGATGCTCATATCTGTCTGTTGATACCTGTGAGTCAATATGTTTTATGAATGCCTTACAGATTATATGTAGGAAACAAATGTTTGTAAGGGATAAATGAAACGTTTAATGAAAGAATAATAAATTAACTTGAAGACTAAATTTTAATGCATATTTTTGTGATTGATTTGAACAGTTTTTTTTTTTTTTTTTTTTTTTTTTTTAATAAGTTCACTTGGATTTGCCATTTTTTGTGCTTGTTTTTATTAGTTCCCACTCTCCAATTACCTTTTGGGGCTTACAGCCATACCACGTTGAAACCCCAGTTCTTGTATGATCACTGAAATTAAGCAACGTCGAGCCTGGTCATTACCAAGAGGGGTGACTGCTCTGGAATGCCAGGTGCTGTAAGCTTGGATGTGCTGGTGGTCTAATGGAATCAGCTCAGAATTGTTAATTGGAAAGCTGAGTTAAAATTCTGGTTGGGTTTTTTATATTCACTTATGCGTAAAATACCCTTGGGAAAGCACTTGCATCAGTAAATCATTATTATCTCCAAAACATTCTTACAATCTAAAAATATTTTCTGGCTTTAAATAACCTGTAATGGGTTGATAAGCCGTAAAAAATAATCAATCAAAAACCAATCACCTTTTGAATTAATTACAAAAGATTCAAATATTGACTTATATTTTATGGACAAATGATGGCTGCAAAAAAAAAAAACCTCTCTGGGAGGAAATCAAATGTTTTTATATTTCAATGAGCCTTTTGGTTCAGCATCATTATCATCATCATCATTGTTCATTTTTCTTATTGCAATGTTTTTGAAGATCAGACCACATCACCAGTTTATCTTGTATCAAATCCAGATGTTCTAAAAGTACTTTCGTCTAATCCACTGCCCTGATTAGAAATGGAACTTTGTGTGTTGCTTCTAATGATGAATTCCTGAAAGATGAAGGTGTTTATCTGAATCATAAAATGTAACAGACATTAATAATTGTTTTCACTAAGAGGGATTTTCTTTTCACATTCATTTCACTTTAATTTATTTCACCATTTCTGTATTGTTAAAACTATTGAACTTCTGTTATTTTTGTTGTTACCAAAATATTTCAGCCAATCCATTCCACAGCTTTCTTCAGGTGTATAATTAATCTGGAAAATGCCTTCTATAATTTTGAGGAAGAGTTATGATGATTTCAAGAGTTGTTCAAAATATCAAACGTTGTGTTAATCTTGTTGATAGCCCAATATTTCAGCCTATCCATTCTACAGTCTTCAAGGGTATAATAATAAATATAGAAGATATCACTTATAATTTTTAGAAGTCCTTATTTCAAGTGTTGTTTGGACCATTGAACTCCTTTTTGTTGCTACTACAATGTTTTGTCATACAGCACCCTTTTTCTGCTAGAAACAAATGGTGACAATAAGTGGCTTAACTCATATAATGCAGACTACATGGGGATATGCTCTGTGCAGGTGGAGGTTGCAAGCTCACTATTATAACCAAGTGCTCTGTGGCTTAGGGGAAATTCAAAAAGCTCTTATCCATTCTCACATCCAAACAAATATTGTCAAGAACTCATGACAAATTCTCTGCATGTGTATGATTGGCACTGCTCTATAGCAGTGAGACCAAGTGTGTTGGTCTTGTGGTGGCTCTGCCACAATGACCACTTGATGAGGCACCAAGCCTCAGTATGAAACACTCTCATCTGAGTTGATAACAAGGCATGATATTGGGGATATAACATCAGTGCTGCATATCTCTTCTTAGATGGTTTGGACATGTCCAATAAGCTTCATCATGCATCAGGAAGACATGGAAGGACTGCATTGTTGGGAGGGATGTGCAGCAGTGCAACCTTTCCTACATTAGCCCGTTTGATAAGGATGCTTAGAAAGGAGGAGTGAGAGCTAGCTGACTACTGTCTACCCCAATCACTGGGAAGTCTGCAGCAATATAATCAAAGCTCTGGATCTTGACTTGAAAGACAATATCACTCTCAGCACCCATATAAGAGATGATTTCATATTATACACAAGGATGTTCTCCAACTCTCTCTATGCAGACATCCCTATTTACATATCTGTCTGACAGGATATATATGCTGCTTTCTTCAATTTTCTCACTTTCCACTAATGCTCCCTATCTATTATTTGAACTTAATTCTAAAGTATAGAATGAGCCTTTCTCATTTCAGTGTGAGACTATGGTTGGGACATCCATGTAGTAAAGGAAAGCGTGATCTTATCTCAATCTCCAGTGTTTCTATTTTAGGGCCAGTAAATTTTTTTTCTTTGTTTTTTTTTTTTTTTTTTTTTTTTTTTACTTGATCAAAGAGGAAAAAAAAGAACAGATAAGTGAAAGCATTTGGGATCAAGTGACAGCAAAACTAGACAATGAGTATATCTGGTTACTGGTCTATCATAACAATTACACTTGGGGTTGAGGAACCAAACTTGCAAAACTTATATTGTATGCTGTTAATGTATATATACGTTTTGAAAATTTGATCCATAGCATGTGTGTTATAAATTAACTAGCACTTCATCTTAGTTTCAAACCAGCATAGACATAGTCACAAGCAATACAACTGGTTTTATGATGTGTTTATTGCCCTGTGTGTTGAGGACATTGTTTAGTTTAGTTGGTACTGCAGAATATCCAATCAAAATGGCAGTGTCCATGAGAATTCAGTCAGCATGCTTATAATCATTTATTTTCAATAAATGGCAGTTTTCTATTTTTCTCAAAATTGGCCAGCACAGCCATGCAACAATGTTATAACCATGCAGTAGTGAAAGGTGATCTCTTTCTCTCTCTTTATGGATTATATTTTTGAACATTTTACTTGACCTCATGGGTGACACAATGGATTTAGGTGTCCAAACAACTCATGAAATGATAGTTACTCTTCTCAAAATTATAGAATTATCTTTATTTATGTTTGAATTTTAGATGAAGGATTATCATTTTTGCATAATGATTTATTAAAACTGGTGTCTTCATCTTGTTCAATACCATCATATTTCTGCCATTGTACCAAGACCTTCTTCAGTAACATTCTTGAAATTTTGAACTGACTGCTTTGTCCAATTCATGGGGATAGAATATTCTCATCCTACTGTCCATGCTCAGGAGATATATTAATTCTTCTTGTGATACTGCTTCTGCTCATTCCACTGAACCAGAGTATATGAAACTACAACCACCACATAAACAACATACACTTAACTAAATCTTACATTTGCTAGGCCATTATCTTGTATGACAATCAGGCCATTATCTTTTCAATGGAAGTTTAGAGCAATCTGTTGTTGCCTGATCAGTTTCCTGTATAGTGCTCAATTCTATGCTAGGCTACTGAGGATGTTATGTAATGATTATTTTCTCCAATGTTGCTCTTTCTTATTCTATATAGTCTATATAACAACCAAGATGAGGACACCAGTTCAAATACATGATTTTGTTTTTTTTAATAAACAATTAAGGATTTTGACAAGTACTGAAGTTGCTTAAATTTTTTTAATTTTTTCTGGGTTGAATAAAAAGAAAATAAAAATATTTCAATGTAATTAAATTAGAATTCTTGAATACAGTATAAAATAATGTATTTGGTAATGCTTTTTTTATTTTTTATTTTTTTCAGTTGCTTAAGCCACACAGATGTCAATAATTTGATTTGTTTTACAACATATCAATTTTTTCTGGTTATTTAGTGCCAAATTCTCCCATTTTTCATAAATAGAAAGGTAGACAGAGGTTTGGTTTACATGAGAATCGCAAAAGTAGACACAGATATAGTAAACAGTTTTTTTTTTTTAAATCCCCTTGCATGGGGATGTAGCTGGCATTTTCTTGACCTCAACAGATGGGCTGAGATGCCAGTAGTAGAGTTTCTTAAGATTAAGTCAAATTTCAGTGCAATCACTAATAAACAAAAAAAAATGTCTAGTTTTATAATAAGTATGTTCATTGTACCAATTGTTGGTCAAGAAAAGAATGCTTTCTTACAATACTTTTAAATACCAAGATATATAAATAGCAGTAATTACCTTGAAAGTATAATGCTTATCAATAAGTTTAAATTTTTATTGAAACTACTAAAACCAGTTTCTCATTAAATCTCTTGGGTACTCAAATTCACCCCAGCCATCAAGTGGAATTCATATATACAATACATTGCTAAAAGTGCTGGAAAAATGATTGGTTCTTTGTACCACTCCAGTAAGTATCTGATTCCTCTTGCTATACTCTATTGTTACCAGATCAGACCAAAAATCAAGTATTGCTACTATATTAGGACTGGAGTTGCCCAGTCTTCACTTGCAAGTCTTGATAGAGTTCAGAAGTGTCTACGCAGCCTTGATGAATTCTTTTCCACTCTACAACCCCTTTCCCACAGATGAAATGTCACAAGCCTATCACTATTCCATGACAAATGTTCTGATAAGCAATATTCCTTAGATCCACCAGTTGTGACTTTTGCAGCTAAGACCTGCCATGCCACATACACTTTGTATTCCATCAGTAAAAACTCATATAACTTCTTCCCAAGAACTGCAACTTTGTAGAACATTCCTGAGAAGATGCTTTCCTGATCACTAGACTCTTAACCTCTTCAAGTCTAGGGTTAACTGTTATCTCTTCTGCATAATCACATAGATTGCATTCACCTCCTCTTCTTACACTCGTGTCACAATATCATTCAGTAACACTTTATCTTGAGTGGCTCTTGGGCCTTGTATTAGATAATCATTAGTTAGAAAAGAAGATTGCCAATATATTGTCTTATCTCTCAGTAACATTATTTTGTCATAGGTACACTATAGTAGGAGATGAGGAAAAGAGAAATCTATTCACTCACCTATAATTATTTTACAGAAATAGGGTTACTATATCTATTGTCAGTCCTGACCTTTATCTGGTACAGCATAATGATTTAGTGGTTGTTTCCACTTCTGACCAAATTTGTAACTATATGTTTAAAATTGTTTATATCATATTTTAGTAAAAAATAATTGGTTTTGAAACAGGCCTAAAATAAACTTGTATAAGATATTTTTTTATACATTGATAATGAAAAATTACTTTACAATAGAAAGAGTGTATATATATATATATATATATATATATATATATATATATATACACACACACTATATTTATAGGTAAAAGTGATCAGTATCTGGTATAGAGCATATGTAAATATAAGAGTTAACACCAACTGGTGACAGTCTGCTTCATGATTGAGCACAATCTTCTACAGGCTGTTAAGAAAGAAACTCAAAAATCACATTAATATCTAATTTCCAGATAATTTCAAATAATCTTACATTGCAAAGACAGAAAAGACATCAGAGCTGCTTAGTTTTAGTGAGAAAATGAATGAAAGAAGG